CCTGGAACTGCTCTGCCCTGCTCCGTGGATCAGTGGGTAGATAGAATATTGCTCAGAGTCTCCCATCAACATGTCAGTTCCCTTAGACAGTGGAGCCGATGGCTGTCCAGTCTGTGAGCAGGATGGTCTTGCGATGCCCTGCTTGGGTGTACAGAGTCCTGACTGGGTAGAGTAGGAACCAGTGTCTAGGGTTTAGAGGTTTTTGGCTTTTGTTGTGAGCAATCCCTAAATGTTTGAGAGCTGAGTGTTTGAGCTTTTGCCCTTTTCATTTGCAGGGGGGGTGTTGGGAGCAGCTGAAGAGAGAGGAGCCTTGTAGGTGAGTTGGGGAGGTAGCAGGAGGAGCAGGGATCCCCTGCAGCTTTAGAGATGCCCTCTAATTTTGTCTCTCGCTCACTCAGGTATCCCAGAAGATGACAGCACGCTGTCCAAGTCTGGTCAGAGCCAGCGACCCGAGGACCTGCCTCGGTGACAGTGAGTAGAGGGATCATGGGGGCTGGGGCCTCGTGCCACACTATTCAGATATGGTGTCTGGTTTTCTTTCTCGCAGTTGACTCCGAGTAGTCTGACGATGGCAGGAACCTCTGAGCCAGCCCAGGTGCCCCTCCTCTGCATCCAAGATGGATTGGCATCCCCTGCACTTGGAAAGATAAGTGCAGGGCAAAGCCCCAGAGAGGGGTTGGGAGTGGGTGCAAGTCTGTGCCTCGCCTGGAGGGATTTTTGCAATTATTCTGGTGCAGGGGGTATCCTGTGACAGGTTATTTGGATGCATCAAAGGAAGGGCTTACTTTTTATCATTGGATTCCCGTGTGCCGGGCAGAGCAGTTCTGGTGTGTGTCACGTCCTTTGTCTCGTGCGTGTTTTGTGTCCTTCGTCTCTTAATTGTGTCACGTGGTGTGTGTGGTCACGGGTGTGGGGTGTGTCACTTGGGGTCAGCCTGGAACTGCTCTGCCCTGCTCCGTGGATCAGTGGGTAGATAGAATATTGCTCAGAGTCTCCCATCAACATGTCAGTTCCCTTAGACAGTGGAGCCGATGGCTGTCCAGTCTGTGAGCAGGATGGTCTTGTGATGCCTTGCTTGGGTGTATAGGGTCCCGACTGGGTAGAGTAGGAACCAGTGTCTAGGGTTTAGAGGTTTTTGGCTTTTGTTGTGAGCAATCTCTAAATGTTTGAGAGCTGAGTGTTTGAGCTTTTGCCCATTTCATTTGCAGGGGCGGTGTTGGGAGCAGCTGAAGAGAGAGGAGCCTTGTAGGTGAGTTGGGGAGGCAGCAGGAGGAGCGGGGATGCACTGCAGCTTTAGAGATGCCCTCTAATTTTGTCTCTCGCTCCCTCAGGTATCCCAGAAGATGACAGCACGTTGTCCAAGTCTGGTCAGAGCCAGCGGCCCGAGGCCCTGCCTCGGTGAGAGTGAGTAGAGGGATCATGGGGTCTGGGGCCATGTGCCACACTATTCAGATATGGTGTCTGGTTTTCTTTCTCGCAGTTGACTCCGAGTAGTCTGACGATGGCAGGAACCTCTGAGGCAGCCCAGGTGCCCCTCCTCTGCATCCAAGATGGATTGGCATCCCCTGCACTTGGAAAGATAAGTGCAGGGCAAAGACCCAGAGAGGGGTTGGGAGTGGGTGCAAGTCTGTGCCTCGCCTGGAGGGATTTTTGAAATGAGTCCGGTGCAGGGGGTATCCTGGAACAGGTTATTTGGACGCATCAAAGGAAGGGCTTACTTTTTATCATTGGATTCCTGTGTGCAGGGCGGAGCAGTTCTGGTGTGTGTCACGTCCTTTCTCTCATGCGTGTTTTGTGTCACATGGTGTGTGTGGTCACAGGTGTGGGGTGTCTGACTTGGGGTCAGCCTGGACCTGCTCTGCCCTGCTCCGTGGATCAGTGGGTAGATAGAATATTGCTCAGAGTCTCCCATCAACATGTCAGTTCCCTTAGACAGTGGAGCCGATGGCTGTCCAGTCTGTGAGCAGGATGGTCTTGTGATGCCTTGCTTGGGTGTATAGAGTCCTGACTGGGTAGAGTAGGAACCAGTGTCTAGGGTTTAGAGGTTTTTGGCTTTTGTTGTGAGCAATCTCTAAATGTTTGAGAGCTGAGTGTTTGAGCTTTTGCCCTTTTCATTTGCCGGGGCGGTGTTGGGAGCAGCTGAAGAGAGAGGAGCCTTGTAGGTGAGTTGGGGAGGCAGCAGGAGGAGCGGGGATCCACTGCAGCTTTAGAGATGCCCTCTAATTTTGTCTCTCGCTCACTCAGGTATCCCAGAAGATGACAGCACGCTGCTCCGGCCCCCGACCCCGACTAAAGTCCCCCCGACTAAACTCGCTCCCCCCGACCCCGACTAAAGTCCCCTCGACTAGCTCCGGCCCCCGACCCCGATTAAACTCGCTCCCCGCGACGAGCTCCGGCCCCCGACCCCGACGAAACTCGCTCTCCCCGACTAGCTCCCGCCCCCGACCCCGACTAAA